AGGTTGCTGTGAGCTGTGATGCCATGGCACTCTACCCAGGGGGACAGCTTGAGGCTCTGTCTCAAAAAAAAAAAAAAGTAAAAATAAAAGCCATTCTTTGGGTAAATTAATCAAAACACCTTTTAAGTTATATGTTATTTTAATAAAAACATCTATATGATTTATTATTTTTTGAGTTATCTTGTTTCCAATGCTCAAAGGATATTTGTAAAACCAAGCATTTGCCCTTTACTTAGACACTAATTAAAGGAATTTATTTTATTTTATGTGTTTCTTTCATTCATTCTTTCTTTTTTTTCTTGAGACAGAGTCTCTCACTTTGTTGCCCTTGATAGAATGCATAGCTCAAAGCAACCTCAAGCTCTTGGGTTCAAGCAATTCTCTTGCCTTGGTCTCTGAAGTAGCTGGGACTACAGGTGCCTTCCACAATGCCTTGGCTAGTTCAGGCTGGTCTCAAACCTATGAGTTTAGGCAATCCACCCGCCTCGGCCTCCCAGAGTGCTGGGATTACAGGGGTAAGCCACTGCACCCAGCCTAGGTTTTTTTTTTTTTTGAGAGAGAGATAGTCTATGTTGCCCTGGGTAGAGTGCTGTGGTGTCATAGCTCACAGCAACCTCAAACTCTTGGGCTTAAGCTATTCTCTTGCCTCAGCCTCCCAAGTAGCTGGGACTACACATGCCCTCCACAATGCCTGAATACTTTTTGTTGTTGTTGTTGCAGTTGTCATTGTTGCTTTAGCTGGCTGGTGCCGGGTTCGAACCTGCTATCCTTGGTGTATGTAGCTGGCTATGTAACCACTGTATTACAGGCGCCAAGCCTTTTTTTTTTTAAGATAAGTAAAATTGGACATATGGTAGAAGGAGGGAGGGCAGGAGGCTGGATCTCGCCTAATATACACTTTGTGAGGTGTATAACACCTCCCCTGGGTGAGGGGCTCTTCTACAAACGGAACTTTCACCCTGGAAGTGAGAACAGTATGACCTAAATATTGTACCCTCATATTTGAATAAAGTTAAAAAAAAGATAAGCAAAACTGACAAAATTTTAGTTAGGCTAACCAAAAGAAATAAAAAGGGTAAAGTTTCAAATACTGAAACTATAAATGAAAGAGGGGACATTACACATTACACTTGATACCAGAGCCATGCAAAGAGCCATAAGAGACTACAAAAACAATTACATGCCAACGTCTAGTATAACCTAGATGAAAGAGTCCTAGAAACATACAATCCACAAATACTAAATTATGAAGAAATACAAAATCTGAACAGACCCATAACTGATTTATTATTTATTTATTTATTCAGAGACAGAGTCTCACTATGTTGCTTTAGGTGGAGTGCTATGGCATCACAGTTCACAGCAACTTCAAACTCCTGGGCTTAAGTGATTCTCTTGCCCCAGCCTCCCAAGTAGCGTGGACTACAGGTGCCACCACAATGCCCAGCTATTTTTTTGGTTGTAGTTGTCATTGTTATTTGGCTGGCTGGGGCTGGATTCAAACCTGCCAGCTCTGTGTATGTGGCTGGTGCCCTAGCCGCTGAGCTACAGGCGCCAAGCCCCCATAACTGATTTAATAATCAGCAATCAAAAACCTTCCTGGCCAGATGTAGTACTAACACCTGTAATCCTAGCACTCTGGGAGGCCACAGTAGGAGGGATTGAGTTTAGGAGCTTGTGACCAGCCTAAACAAGAGCCGGATCCTGCTAAAAACAGAAAAAATTAGCCGGGCAGGCTAATTTGTGGCAGGCACCTGTAGTCCCAGTTACTCAGGAGGCTGAGGCAGGAGGATTACTTGAGGCTCGGCGCCT